CTTCCTCTTCTTCCTCTTCTTCTTCTTCTTCTTCTTCTTCCTCTTCCTCTTCCTCTTCCTCTTCCTCTTCTTCCTCCTCCTCCTCCTCTTCCTCTTCTTCCTCTTCCTCTTCCTCTTCCTCTTCCTCTTCTCCTCCTCCTCCTTGGTGTTTAATATGTAATGGATCCTTAAATGGCTTCTTGGATACTTTTTGAAACATCAAGAGACATTGTGAATCAATGTAATGGAGATTTCCATGAAGTCCTGCCTTTTAAAGGAAATTAGAAAATGAACAGGTGCTTATAGGAACTGATGTGGGCAATGCATTTGACTTCCCTCATTGTGTACTCATCTATAGACATTTAGAATGGGGTGTGGGATTTTCTTTTATCATAGTGGCTTAAGAAACTTTTCCATGTAGTTTGAAAATAATATGTAAAAGGCACCACATAATGCAGTCTAAATGCTTTGATTAACCAATTACATCTAATTCAGGCTAATATGTATTGCAATTTCTTCTTAGTCTTTTTAAAAGAGATCTTATATTCTTCCCATATAAATCAGCTCACACTGATCCATTAATGTGTTCTGCTTGTATCTGCCTCCAAAACCATATCCTCTATTTTCTAGCAAGATCCCACGCTCTGGAGTGTGCAGGATGGTCCAGGCTTAACTAAAGAGGCAGCTGTTCACTATTTATTTTTATCCTCTTTGTTAGATGGATAGCCATGTACTCCATATATTACATACCATCCATCCTCTGCAGTTAATCAGTCAGAGCTCTTCAGAATGGCCGTTCATTCATCCTGACTGCCCAGTGCTATGCCTTTCATCAGACATATGTGATCCTTGTAATTAGATACTATACTGGATAGTAACCTTAACTTTGTTGTTTCTAAGCTTAACTTTCAGTTTTATCAGTGCAACATTTGTAGGGCATTTCATGGCAACTTTGCCTAGCACAGAATACCACTAATCTAGTTCAATTATACAATTCTACAAATCTCTATATAAAATAATGACTGCAGGAAGCAGTATGTTTTGTTCTCTGCCAGCTTTCCATATGAGTTAGACTATATGTACTTAGAGCAGACTCACTGTAATAATTAGATTTCATAGTCCTTTTATTTATGTATCCAATTATACAACATGGATTTATTTTAGTAAACGTGTACACCTTCACCTTCTGATGCTTATGTAAAGGAGTTAACAATTCAAATTCTAATTTCAGTCAATTAAAGTCATGAATAACAAGTTCCATTGGTTTCATTGAGTCTATTTTAATTAAGTCTGGATCCAGCCCTAGGAGAAGCTGCAGATCTTTCCTTTTTTAAAAAAAAGACCCAAGCAAGGTTAAATTGGCAGCGCTTTGTAGAATCTCCAACTGAAATTCATTATCATGTTTCATAATCACTTATTGGTTTGCATTGCATGGATGCATGCACAGATACACACACAAATATAAAATACATATATATACACAGAAGACGGGATTTCCTTTAGAAGATGGAAACCCATCTGTAATTGGTTTGGATCAATGATGGCCAAATGTTAGCCTGTTGGCCAGATATGGTTTCCAGTCTCATTTTTCCTCATGCTTCATGCTTTCTCTGTATTTTATAACAGATTGGATGTGCAAGGCATTATTTCTCACATGGCAGACATCTCTCGCAGCAGGAAATGAGAGGTATCCCAAGATCTCAGCATGGTATAGGCATACTGAGCCAAGACCTAATATATACAGTACTTGCTCATTTTATCTTAATGAAAACTATAGATATCTCAAACACATATTGTCTGCTTTGAAATTCAAGCTTCAAGGACTTCTAATACTCACTTCAGATATAAGATGAACATTAGGACTCCATAATTCTTCTGCCTGAAATTAAAATCTGGGTCTTGGAATAACCCAGAAATGTCCATTCTCCCACTTGATGAAGCTACACTTCAGCCACTCCCTTAACTGGCAGCTTTTTAAAACAAAAAACAAGAACAAAACTTCAGAGTCTGAAGTATGCAAATACAAGTAGACATGGGAAATGCAATTTTTCTGCATGTTACTGTGGAAGACCATATCCACTGAGAAAATAGCATTTTCTAGACTTATTCTAATTGCCAGCCTAATTTAAGAGAAGGTATGACAGAAAGGACTATAGTACATGGACTACATGGTTAACTCTTTGCACCTATCACTTTCTAATTTGAGCTGACTCTCACATACTGCATATCTGCAGAAAGAGGTACAGGTAGTTGTTGACTTATGACCATTCATTTAATGACCATTCAAAATTATGATGGCACTGAAAAAAATTACTTACAACCAGTCCTCACACTTATGACCATCACAGTATCCCAGTGGTCACATGATCAAAATTTGGGTGCTTGGCAACTGGTATGTATTTAGGATGGTTGCAGCATCCCGGGGTCACATGATCGCTATTTGCGATGTTCCCAGGGGGCTTCCAACAAGCAAAGTCAATGGGGAAGCCGGATTTGCTTAATGACTGCGGTGATTTGCTTAACAACCATGGCAAAAAAGGTTGTAAAATTGGGCATGACTCACTTAATGACCACATCACTTAGTGATGGAAGTTCTGGTCCCAATTGTGGTTGTAAGTAGAGGACTACCTGTAATCTGGTTTGAGCTCTCCCAATTCAAAACAGGAAAATAGTGGGGCAAGTAAGCTAACTGTCTTCTCTGCACAAGCCTATCTAACCCAAATCTATGATAACTATATTTAATTTTTAAAAATCCTTACAAGGGCTGAAGATGTGAATGACTCCCTATCAGGTTGATCACTGTGCTCTTAGTTAGGATCAAGCCCAAGGAACACCTTGCAAACACTACAAAAATGATTGAGTTGAAGATTCTGTTCAAAACAATGAAATGGAAGATTTCAGTTAGTAGAGATTAAAATAAGACACGAATGTGAATAGTATTTAGAATAAATCATAACTAATATAAGTTGGCAGAACTCTAAAAGAGTTTCAGGAGGGTATGCAGAACACTTTTTCCATGTTTATCAAGGTTTTCATTTTACATGCCAAGGGGCATTCTCTGGTTAGAGGAATGAGCCCCAAATCTATTGGCTGGTAAGAGTTCTGTGGGATAAGTCTACTGCCAGCAGTGTTCCTACTAGTAGTAGGCTGCTGGGATGCTAAGAGGAGTGATAAGACTCTTGGCTATAGGGTTCTGAGGGGCCTATTCCTCAACTGCTTTCTCACACAACCCCCTCTGGCTTCCACATGCTCCTACTTGGCAGTATTGGTGGCAGTTCCTCTTCCACCACAGCTTCTTCCTCCTCTGCTGTCAGTGTCTTTTTGGTGGCTAACATGTCCTCAAGGTGCAGAGGCTGTTTAAAATGGAAAAAAAAGTTGGTATTGCTGCTTAATACTTAAATTTCAGTCAGATGCTGCCCGAGTAGGTACTGAACCCTTTAGAATGGCAACAGGGAAGGCCTGCAACTGTTCAAATGCTCTTAAGAACTGCACACCCACAAAAAGCACCTTGTGATTTATGCAGCTGCCTGATCCTTATACTTGGAGGGGTTTTTTCCCTTCATTTAAATAGCATGTGGTGCTATAATTTTTGAATCAGTTGATCTGCAGAGCAGCATACTATCACCATAATATCTGGTGGTCATTTGTAGAGTTTCTGGACTGCAAGGATCAGATCAATGCCTACTCTTTGTTCCTTGAAGTCACAGTGACCCTGAAATAATATGTGTGTGTCTGTGTGTTTGTGTGTGCGGAGAAAGTGGAATAGAAGTACGTCTGAATATATATATAGAATGAATTGAATAGAAAAAAAAATATGAAAGCCATAACTTTCCACTTTCTTCTATATTTTGTGCTACATTTTATGCAATTCATATAATATTGATCCGATGCTTATAAGGAGATTTTCCTAAAATTGGTCAAAAATTATCTTTCAGTTTTTTAAAAGAATGGATATATTCTTTTTCTTTTTTAAGACTCTTAATGAAGTCTAATTTCTAGCTGAGGACTCTAATAAAATATATGTGGTTATTCTGGCCACCTTGTAAAAAATAATGATCAACATTAATAATGATAATTATTTTGAAAGCTGAGCTACTTCATTCATAAGAGCTGTGCATTCTATAATACATATCATTGAACCTTTTGGCCTATTCATGAATGATGGATAACAAGGGATTATACCTCATTCCCTATGTATCTTTGTTTTACTGATTAATAAGATTTGTAGTACCGGTTAATTATGAAATGCAATTGCATTATAAAAAATATTATCAGGATTTCATAGAATCATAAGGTTGGAAAGGATCTTGGAAACATTATAAATATTCTGTTGAATGCAATATCATAGTGGACTAAAATGAGCAACTCACCACCCACTTTGTAACATATAAATATAGGAAACCTGAAATAGATAGCCATATTCTTGAAGTATACAAGAAATGTGGATGAGAAACCAAATATGATGGCTTATTATGAGGAAATGAGGATGGAGTTGGATAAAAGGAATTTGAGATCAAGTCCATCCCAACCATGTAATTTGGAAGATGTGACTATGTCCTGAATACTTGTATGCTCTGCAAAATGGAATACTCTTTTTCAGAATGTCTTCAGAAGAAAATGAGTAAACAACTGCCGAAACCTTTGGCCATTAAAAAGAAATGCCAAGATTGTGTCTACTATTCTATAATGGGTGGGGGATGTTATGGCTGATTTATCATTAGCTCCATGTGTTACCAGTCTTTCTTTCTTTTCAGTGTGGTAATTGTATAGTTGAAATTAGACATAGTTATTTGGTCATTGAACAATGAAGAAACAGTAAAATCACTAAGAAAACAATACTGTGCCACATTTGTAAAAAATAAAATAATAACAAGACAGCAGAGTAATACAACATTCACATCAGGGAACAGTGTTTTTTCCAAGTCAGTAACATGTACCTATGCTTTTGTTTTTTAACACTGTAATTTTTTTTCATAAAGATATTGGAATTCAGACTTTCTGTTGAGTTAGATGCAAATGGAATGCTTATTTGCACACTCTCTCTACATTTACCCAATACATTTCTTTATCATCACTTTTCCACAAACTAAATGGGTGGGGAAGTGGTTTCTCAGTAGATTTGAATAATTTTATTCTTATTTTTGATGTTGCTGACAACTTTTGCCTGCTAATTGTTAAGGTAATTGATGTCAAAGCCATCCCTAAATTACACAGAATTTAGTTTCTATCATGAGAAGCACCTATGAGCACATGTGTCTGCACACACACTTAGCTAACCCCTTCCTTCCTTCCTTCCTTCCTTCCTTAATAAA